AATGGACACCCAGCTTCACAAATTGTTTCCTGTCACTTAAATAATTTTTCACCCATTGCAGTGCATTGATTTGAAAATATAACGCATCAACAAATTTTTATAGTCGACATAATCTATTATGGCAACTAATCGTTGCAGTCGTAGTGTGTTATCTGGCTTCATCGATGGATAAAGTTGTGTGTCATCTGCATAGCAGAAAAAATGCATGCTATGTCTTCTAATGATACTGCCTAAAGGAAGCATTTAGAGTGTAAATCTAACCAATGTGAAATCAGTCCCCACTTCTGGCAATCCAGTTATTGTGGCGTAAGTGAACTTTTCAAAAGTTTCATCTGCTGCACCTCTCCTGTCTCTGTGGCTGCCGTGCTCTGTCAGAAAATTACTAATTACTGATACAATACCGCTTGACAGTCCATTGATGTAGCATTGTGGCCTCACTCAATCCATTCGACAGCAAGTCAGCTACTTTGTTTGTTTTGTTATCTGGTTTTTAAGTGATAACGTATAAACTCTGCTTCCAGGTCCAAATTACTCTGTGTTTATTAAGGCTGTAGTGTTTTTTAACATGTTTTAATGTTTTGTATCTTCTTCTATTTAATCTGAACAAGCCCCTAAAAAAAGTCAGTGATCACTTTCAGCCTCTCAGTTTTTGTTACCACTGTTGATTTTAAAGCTCAGTTTTTAAAGCCTTACGATGTAACCACAGCCCAGCCTATGCAGCAGTATATTAATGACTAACCTCGTATTGTGGATGGATTATTACTACAAACAAAAAATCAATGGGAAGGGACATCTGAAGATGTCCATGTAGTAAGGTCTAAGATATGATGGGGCCTGATCACTCAGGACTTAATATATGAAGAGAAGGATTTTAAACAACTCTAAATGTCACAGGAACAAGAAGCTAATACAGGTGAATCTTTCAGTGATCCTTGGTAGTTCTTATAAATGATAAATCTTCCTCAGACACACAGCAGGTGGCTCTCTCCATAGCAATGACCATGTATGCCATGTTTTGTGATAGTATTGCCTAAGGGAAGCAAGTATTATGTAAATAATCTAAGGAGCTTGAAATGAAAAGAGCACAGTCCAGAGATGGCAAACTATTATCCTCTGTATCTTCCCTAGGGCTTAATACCTGGGACTCACCCCCATTTGATCTTAGAACTGAAGAAGCTTCATGGATGAGAGGTGAAACATCTTCAGCACACCTAAAGAAGCTCAGCTGCTTTTCTTCCCAAGCTCCTTAGATTACCATGATCTGGATGACAGAGAACCTACACAGACCTCTAAAGTAAATAGTATTGGTCCTACTAAAGAACCCTTTTGAACTCCATAACTAACTTTTGCTTATGTCGGCTACTTTTTGTTTAATCTGTCAGGTAACTCATGTCATTATTGGCCAGGTTAAGGAAGATGAATGTGTGCACACCCATGCTGGTCACCATCTCAGTCCACAGTGGACACGAGGGCTTCAGGGACAAGGCCCCTCTAGCCTCAGTCCTCACAGAGAGATGGTACATGGCCCCTGGCATCCAGAGGATCAGTATTAATGAGCAAGGAGTGCAAGGGACTCTGTTTATACCTCCAGGTACACCTGCAGCACCTGAAATGACACGTTTATTCTCTTAAATACGTATTTTGTTGATTTTATTTTTTCAAAGTGGCTGGGGTTTTTCTTTCATAATGGTGAAATGTAAATTTAAAAAATCAGTTCTGCTTTTCCTTAAAATATATTCTCATATTAAACATGGCTAAAGGTAAAAAAAAAAAAATCAGTCTGTGTACAAGTAACATGGAAAAAAAAAAAAGAAAAAAGCAAAAGCTCAGGCTTCAAGCTGATCTAAATGCTGTGGCATTGAAACATGCGGGCAGGGCTTGTGTGCCTGGTGTGACCATATTAGTGAATTCCTCTCTTTCTGACAATATACAGATCCAAGAGTAGGAAGAAAATCCACCTGATGTCCGAGTTTTCAGCTCGCAAGGATGACTTGAACCAAAGTAATTTTGTCCTGTTTGGCTGACTTCAGGTCCTGGACCGTTTCCTGGGCTGCTGGATATGTGGGGAGGTGGTGGAGGGCTGCTGGAGTATCGTGCTGCCTTGCTCGCGTCTCACGGTTATGTTTCTTTGGCGCTGGATTACCTCGGATTTGACCAGGAGTCTGAAAATTTGGAATTGAAATACTTTGAGGTTTGTGTGACAGATCGCCATCCAAAATTATGAATTAAGGCGTTCCAATCACTTTCATGGCCACAGGTGTATAAAATCAACCAGCTAGGCATGCACACTGCTTAATTCATAAAAAGAAAATGGGTTGCTCTTAGGATCTCAGTGAATTCCAGCATGGTACCATTATAGGATATCAGTTGTCACAAGTCCAGTTGTGAAATTTTCTTGCTACTTAAATATTTCACACTCAACAACCGCAACTTAGCCATAAAGTGGCAGGCCTCATGAAATCACAGAGTGGGGTCAGCAGATGCTGTGGCACCAAGGTTGCCAACTTTCTGCAGAGAGGGGATGGCCCCTTCTTGATCCTACGTGACTGTGCACCAGTGCACAAAGTAAGGGCCATAAAGACATAGAAGAACTGGACTGGCCTGCACAGAGTCCTGGCCTCAACACCCCTGGAATGAATTGGAGCGAAAACTGTGAGCCAAGCCTTCTTGTCCAACATCAGTGTCTGACCTCACAAATGTGCTTCTGAAAGAGTCAAAAAGAGAGTCAAAAAATTCCCATTGTCCCCTCTGACCATTAGACTTTTCTCCAGAAGGCATTTGTCTTGTCCATGTGGGCAGCTGCAAATTTCATTTCTTGGACTTGGACCCATTCTTTCCAGTATTGGTCAATTCAGTGAGTGCTGTCAAACAAATGTGTTTTAGGCTGCAAAGATAAACTATCAGTTGTAGTTAATCATGATAACTTACGAGAAGTTAAAAGGTCTTGACTTTGTCAAGTTAAAGGACACTCGAGAACTTTCAGGTCCCCTTATTAAAGATTGAAGTGAGTGTATGTAAATATATGACCCTGTGTAGATAAGAGAAAACCCAAAATAAATTCAGACTTGTGCACCCATTTATTATTGTTTAAAGTCACGCATGTTGTACAATGATTCAAATCTGGCAAAAGAACAGTTCAAAGAAATCATTAAAAGCCCAAAATTACTCTGACATTCATGTCCATAATGAGTGTTTGTAAACTCCTCATTACATCTTTACTTATTATTTAATATTCTAATATTCTGATCTCTTCAGACGGCGTTTAATATTATTAAGGACCATCCTCAAGTGATGCCAGACAGAGTTGGAATTTTTGGTCTTTCCCTCGGTTCACTTGTTGCTGTCACCTTGGCAGCCTACAGCACCATTACCAAGGTCAGAGTGCGAGGGAAATGACTTAAATTTCCTCTTCTTTTACCTTTAAAGTAGACCTTAACCCACTGACCTCTTTCTTACTCCAACTGAGGTATAAATCAAATTTCGTAATTTGTCATTTCATTCCAGCCTTGTGGTATTGTTTGTATCAGCTCCAACCACTATTATCCAGCACAGGGGAGCACAGTCGCATCCAGGTTTGAAGGAGTAACCAGGTGGGTCCGTGTTTGTCGGTCCATTAAATTATTATTGCTGTTTCGTAATTACTAATATGTTATGACAGGCAGCTTCACAAGGCGCGTGTGAATGAGGACAACCAAGTGATCTGGAAAGATGTTGGTCTGGAGTTCATCACTGACCCCTCAAACATTGCCGAAGTGAGTGCTGGAATATACTGCAAACACCTGCATGTTAAATACCAATACAAGTCAGTGCTGGACCTGTTTTATTATTTGTAACATTGTTTTAAAGGTGTTTTTTGTTGACAGGTAGGCAGAATTAACTGCCCGACATTGCTGGTTAACGGCTGTGATGATCAGAACTGGCCCACAGTGGAGACGGCGGAGGATGTGAGGTCACACACACTCACACAAATGCTGAGAGTGATGGATGTCAAGAATACTGGAAAGTTGGCAGTTCTTGTTTGAGTATTGTGAACATTGTGTGAGGGCCAAATATAAATGTGAACATTAACATACAGTTAATTTAAGGTTGACCTCTGACCCTCAGGTGGCCAGGTTGATGCGTGAAGCTGGAAAGGAACACCTGTTGAGCAGATTAGCATATCCGGACACCGGACACCTGATTGAGCCACCGTTCTCACCTCATTTTAGGGCTACGACCTTTGTCATACGCAGCAGTAAAGAAAAAGGTCAGATTCCCACACCTGTACAAAGGCTTTGGCCTCACTTCCTGTTTCTTACCTGATACAGATTCTGGTCATAATAACAAAACTTCATCAAGTACTATAATACACTGCTCAAAAAAGAGAGTATAGCATCAAGTCAAACTTTTGGGATATTGATCTGTTCAGTTAAGTGGTAATTAAAGACTAAATGAAGAACAGGTGTACTAGACAAGCAACAATGAGACAAACAGGAATGGTTTTACAGGTGGAGACCACGGGTATTTTATGCTCCTACATAGTGACACCAGTTACAGGGATGTTTAATCACTCTGACCTTTTGTCTTTTTAACTTTTTTTCAGTAAAACAGCTGCAGCTTTATAGCCTTTGTACTTTGTCATCAGTTAACTTTGGAGTTGGTACAAAAACCTCCAAGATTAAATAAGTGTATTCAGCATTAGGAGGGAACATATAGGGTATCACTGGGTGGTGTTGAGGTCTGAATCTGAGGGCAGCTCCTGTAATCACAAAGAGAAAAGCATCATCTCAAACTATCAAAGTTTATCCCTCAAATCTAAAATAAAGCTGTTCCTTGCCAGTCCTCACACACTGATCTGAAGTTCTGCTCTTAGGTTTTTTTTACTTTCCTCTGACAGCTGACATGGGAACTGTTCAACATAGGCAATAATTTATATGTTGTCTAGTATAATATTAACCTTTGAGTGGATGGTGCTTTTTAAACAGAGGTCTGCAAAGATACTTGGGACTCTCCACTCTCTGATCTTAGAACTGAAGAAGCTTCTCGGGTGAGAAGTGAAGCGTCTTCAAGAAACTTAAAGAAATCCGCTTTTCTTTCCAAACTTCTTAGAGTACAATGACCTGGATGAATGAGAACCTTCACAGACAAATCTACCTCGTTTCCTCAGCGCAAATCTTGTGGAGCTTGTGTTTATCCTCAGAGCAACTGATGTCATTTAAAATTGATAAATGAGATTTAAAACGAGGGAGTAATGGACACCAAGCAGCAGATCAATCAGCATAGAAACAGGCTGTAAGCTGAAAGAGCCAGGCTGTAATAATCTGTTTCTAATGCTCTATTTTTCAATGTAAGACGTGTGGCTTAGGTTGTTTAGAGGACTTTGCGCTGGGCATTGTCTTAAAATGGAGATAAAGAAAAATGTATTTTTATTTGCTGAGGTGGCTGTAGTGGAATCACCAATTTCCAAACTGCTAAAAACAAGTCTTTGTCTCCTAATGACATTTGGGGCATCCTGAAACCATTTTTTTATATCAACGTAGAACAAAACATTACAAATAAATTTACTCGAGCCTATACTCCTTAACACCCGGGATTGATTATTTAATGATCTCCTCTGTGTTTGTCACAGTCTTCACTGACTGCCTTTGACTGTCACTACAGTCACACCACTCGTCACATCGTGAGGGGAGGATATTTGGTCATTTGAGCAGATCGGTTGCAGGACTATATTACTGAGGTACACAGGTACCAGTCCATGTGCGTCATTAACTCTGTATTGAAGGCAAAAAGCCCAAGTGCTCATTAAAACAAAATGTTTGTACTCTGGAGTTATCTGTCCATTGATCCCTCCTTATGTTAAATCGCATCAGTCAGGGTAAACACAAACTCCAACAGATTTGTGCTGAGGAAATGAGGCATACTTGCTTATTTTGTACAGAATATTGTGAAACTGATTATGACCAGTTAATGTGGGCGGATACCTGGCTTTATGTTACAAAAACACAGATAATTTTTCCCCCTTTTTAAAACAAAACAAAACAATAATTTCATTGTTGTATGAATGTAATTTTGATAGATATATGCATTTGCACAAGATGGAGACCTTTTTATTCCAGCATCTTTAATAAATCAAACCTTATGACCAGTGTTGGTCAAGTTACTTGAAAAAGTAATCAGTTACTAATTACTGATTACTTC